TTACCTGCTTTAGCTTTCTTATTTTCTTATTATTTTCTCGCACAACGTAAACTTTTATCAGCATTTTCAGGATGAGCTCCATGACCGCCGTAATTTGTGAAACGGAGAGCAAGTCCCACCCCACCGTTTCCCGTACCTCTACGCCGCACTTTCCGATCTTCGACGTCTCGATCTCTGCCTCCAAGGTTTTTCAGAGTCTCAACGAGCTGAACGACAAAATGAAGCCCTCGAGTAGCTCCAAATCTCTGATAAAGATCTCCATTGGGGATCCGACCATTGATGGCAATCTCACGCCTCCCGATTCCTTGAAGGAGGAGTTGATCGAGATCATCCGAAGTGATGAGTTTAATGGCTACCCCCCTGTCCTCGGCTATGACGAGACGCGTCAAGCTGTCGCGGAGTACTGCCAGAGTTTCTGCCAGACTCCCGAGCGCAAGGCGTTGATTAATTGGAATAATGTCGTGATGACCTCCGGCGTCTCGCACGGCATCGAGCTCGCGATCGCGGGGCTGTGCAATCCAGGGGATGCCATTCTGGTCCCGGAGCCCTGCTTTCCGCATTATCAGGTCGTCTGCAGCCGGTACGACCTGACCTGCATTCCTTTTCACCTCGACTCGACGCGGAATTGGGAGTGCGATTTGGCCCACGCGGCTGACCTTCTGACGCCGCAGACGCGGGTTTTTGTGAACGTGAACCCGTCGAATCCGTGTGGGTCGAACTACTCCCGCAAGCACCTGGAGGAGATTTTGGAGTTTTGCGAAACGCACAAGCTCGGGATGCTCTCGGATGAGATCTACGGCGAGATCGTCTTTGAAGGGTCGCCGTTGGTCTCCGTCGTGGACTTTGACAGCCCTGTCCCGCGCGTGGTGATGTCAGGGGCCTCGAAGTGGTATATTTGCCCGGGCTGGCGAATCGGCTGGGCGGTGCTAATCGATCCGGAAGGGGTTGCGGAGGGGTGGATGTCAGGGATGGACCGCCTCGCGCAGATGATTTGCGGCCCTAATTCGATTTGCCAGGTCGCGGTTGGGCGGGAATTAATGCGGGATTCAACCAAACGCAGGGCGGCGATCTGCCAAATCCTACGGGACGGATTGATGGTGTTTGAGCGGCTGCTGGAGCATGACATTGGTATTTCCTTTGCCAAGCCCTGCGCCTCCATGTTCATCATGTTGGGCGTCAACTTTGACTACTACAAGGACATTTCAACCAGTATGGAGTTTTACGAGAAATTGCTGGACGAGGAGAACGTACAGCTCGTTCCGGGGGAAATATTCGGATCCAACGGGTTTGTTCGTGCGACCATATGCCGCCCCCTACCTATCCTCAACGAAGCAATCAATCGCATTATCTTGTTTTGTAAACGCCACATGAAATCTTGAGTAGCAATCTTGAGTCCAAAGATGTCCCTTTGTATTATATAATATTTAAGTAAATAACTATATATATATATATATATATATGTGTGTGTTAATTTGTACTCACATTTGTATGTGTGTCTAATTATTTATTTTATTACTTTCATTTTTTTTTGCAGTATTGTGTATTATTTTCTCTTTTTACTACATTTCTTTTTTGACTTCCTTCTGCCGTTTGCTAATTGTAGTAAAATATAATATATCTATTTTTAAGGGTTAAACATGTAAATGTTGAATATAATTCTGACCAAGTTTGTTTTACATTCCCATGTTTTGGTAAATATAAATTAAAGCGATTAAATGTCAGGGATGGAACACGTATAATGCTAATATGAAATAATTCGGAATCTGGAAAGAAGTATTATTCATTTCTTTCTAGTGTTATTCCTAATATTTATTTTTGTTTGGATTTTATACAGTATAAATACACCTTTTTTGAAATTTTATGAGGATTTAGAAAATTTTATTGAATAGGATTTCTTTAATTTTTCTAGTATTTACTTTTTTTTTAATATGCGAGGAAACTTCTTAAGAGCTAAACAGAGGCTGCACTTAATTTTTCCAATTAATGCGGATTAACATATAGGCAAAAGTGGAATCAATTTCCTTTTTTGACATTTCACGGATCGTTAAATCAAATGTAAAAAATATCTTAGAATGTAACCATTGAGGTGGAAGCTTTGTGGGACATATACATCTCTTGGAGTAATACTATCATGTGCTGTGATGATAGCGTTTAGATATGAAGAATGTTATATGACGAGTTTATATATCATTTTAATGACTATTCCAATATTTGTTAAACCTCTAGCCAAAATCTCATATTTCGTTTTGTTCTTTTCAAAGATCTTTGGACAATATGACTTCTTTTAAGGCTACCCAGCTATGAGATTAAATGAAATGTTATCATGTCTTGATTTCATATGATTAGCACCCTTAAAGGTAAAAGGAAGTCAGTGATTCCTTATCCATGCAAAATTTCCTTATTCTTAGATAAACACGGTTTAATTATTTTTACTTTGAATTATAATTGCTGTCTGACTTAAAGAAATAAAATTGCCTCATTTTATAAAACAGCTACATGTACATTTTGTTTGTATTTCACATCTTCTATATGTCAGGGATATGAACATTATACTTGCTAGTATGATGACGGAATTTACTTCTTTTATTTTTGTAGCTTATAAAATAAAATTCGAATCCTCAGGATCTACTTTATATACAAAAAATTGACAATTCGTATAGCACAGGGGGTATTCTGAAAAATTAAACTGTAAATTTACCTAATTTTTTATAATAGAGTGGGAATGATTTCTATAAAAATGAATACTTTAAATAAACTGAGTATATTATTCCTACGTAAATAGAAAAAAAAGCGAGCGATAAGTAGTAAAAATAGAGGGACATTCGTTTTTTTTCTTTTATAACCCTGTTTTATGAATTTTTTCTTTTTATATAAAATTAGCAAAGGTGTCAAATGATATTGCCTTGAGTATATTTTTATTTTTATTTCATTTATACCTCATTAACTTTTATTTTTCACTTCTCTCGTATAAAATGAAAATAATGAACAAAGGTTAAAACGGAAGCGGATACCATTACAGTTTCTATTAACAATCCTATCGCTTTTTTCCTGTATTACTGCGATTAAATACGTTGGCTCATAATTGTCTTTTTTTTTTCGAGCCATATATACAACTAGACAAACAAATATATCCAAACTATATTTATGGATGTTTAGTTCAAACAAATGGATTAATTATAGCTCCCCTGTTCCGGTAGTGTCAGCCATACACGCCGAACTTATTCTTTTATCATCAATGCGCCATACACCGTGGTTGATGTGTAAAATATAAACCAGCTGAGGAGAGGGGAATAAAAAGGGGATTATGCGGGGTTTTATTATCTCAAGGCACTTACCTTGTTTCTGTTGTGGTGGCAGCGAAGATACACGTTGTCAGGACCTCAGGCAATGGCGTCTTTATTCACAAACCCTATGAAAAAATCGAATTAGGCCACTGGTGTGGCTTTCGATGAAATGCATGATCTTCGCGTGAATTCGCCTCTTCAAGACAAAAGAACTTATGTGTGATATCTAAGACTTTCTTTTTTAGAAAGCATGAAATGGTTTATATTCCAACCTTTACTTATTGACTACGACCCCCCTCTCAAATCCCTACCTTTGGAGCCTATCAATCCTCACCTTAGGAAATACATTAACTTCTGGACATGATTGAGGCTTCCGAGCGTCATGAGGAGCACAGGAAGCGGCCTGCCTCGAAGAAAAGCTCCAAGTTATTAACTAAAAAAGTTTTCAGTAGAAACAATTTAATGACAGTTGTCTTTGAGCCCTTAGGGTCATCGTTGCCTTCTGGTTCTACGAAGGGCAAAAATTGTTTATTTTTTCAACCACATGATGTTGTAGAAAGGCGGCATATTTATCTTGCCCTGGAGGAGGCGCTGGGGGAATCGGATCAACCACCCCAGCCTGTGTTTTCGATGAAGGTACCGGAAGGGCTGCATAAACAACTCTTCCGTGTGGGGACCAATCCCAATGAAGAAAACCCCACACCCGCACGCGCGATTTCCCCATCTTCTGGCCCACTTAGTGCTGACAATGCGGCCCTTTTGCATTCGACGGGGTTGGTGAATGGGGTGGAATCTCGCGGCCTTCACGCGGCCTCGCAAAGCTGCCTGACGCGTTTCTACACGCAAAATGGGGTTTTTAACGATTCGGAAACCGTTTTGGTGCCTTTGACGTACGCTAAAGGGTTGAAGGATGACGAATCGATGGAGGACGAGGATCCGGTTAAAACAACACCCATGGGAAAGAAAGCCCGGGATTTTTGTGGGCGATGCCCCGGTGGGGTCAGTTGGATTCGCCTGAAAAAAGATCTCCATTCTGTCTTTAGAGATGCCTACTCTTGGTCAACGCCTTCGGCCGTAGTAGGGATCAATTTTTTACCATTACAATGGGAGAAAGACCAACTGTGTAATATTGAAATAACTCCCGTATCCCACACTGGGTTTAAGTTCTTGGATATGTGATGCCAAGCTTGATAGTCGCTCTGCGAGCGCTATCCTTAACTCCGAGTTCTTTTTCTTTGATATATCGATATCTCTATATATTTATAGATATCGATATCGATATAAAAGGAAGCGAACCTTATGTGTGTCTCCAAAGATAACCCCCATTTTATGTTCCATTAGCGCTACCGAATATCTCCTCCACGCCCAATTATTTTTCTTCTTTTTACTTTTCATCTTTTCGGTCTTTGGTCGAGGTCATCCACCCGTCCAACCCACCCACACGCGCAACCGCCCCCTGCCGGGTTGCTGTCGCTGTGCCAAACCCAACACCCGGGCCGAACTCCTGTAGGGCATCGGGACACCCCCCTCCCCCGTAGGAAAACACGATAACCTTAAAAGAAAAACTACAACGAATAGGAAAAACACCCCCTCCCCTCCCCCTTTTATGAACCCCCTTCCTCTCGCCCCTCCTTTAGACGCGGTGGAGGGGGTTCTTTCGGCGCCCCCGGGGCCGGACCGGGCGCCCTACCCCCACTGCCCGATCTACATCCCGTCCAAAGGGCGCTTCGACCAGACCCGCTCGACCCTCGCGACGCTGGTCGGGGACCTCGTCCCGTTCACGCTGGTGGTGGAGCCGCACGAGGTGGGGCTTTACGCCTCGTGTTTGGACCGCCTCGTGCGGGAAAAAGGAGGGATGGGCCGAGAAGAACCCGCCAAAGAACCCCCCGCGGCCAACGCGAACGAGCGCGGGGGGGAACGGCCCACCGCGCTTTACCACCACGGCTACCGTTTTCAACCCCCTACGGCTACCCAAGCGAGCGACGAGGCGGGGGGAAAGGCGACGTCCGAGTTCGTTTTAACCAGCCTCGAGGCCGTGCGGGATATTTTCACAATCGTGGCCCTGCCGGAGAAGGACCAGGGGGTGTCCTACGCCCGGAATTTCATCCTTCAGGTTCTCGTTCCGCAGCAAATGGTGGAATTCGAGGTCGACCGAACGGGACATCTGGAGGAGCTCGGGCTTTTCACCTCCGGCTCGACGCTGGGGGCGGCGATGGCGTCCCCGGCGCCGCCCGCGAGCGATGCGAGTAAATTTCTGCTCCCCGACAGCGCTTTAAGGAGCTTCGAGCTCGATCCGAGCGTCTACGCGGCGGTGGAGCGCTGGCGGGGCGGGAGCCGGTCGGGCCCGCCGCACAGCCTTTACGGCTACTATTGGGTGATGGATGATGACATCTACACCTTTTCCCGCGCGAACCCGCAAAAAAAACGAAACGAACGAATCTCCTCTCGTCAGATGATGCGCAACGTCGAGGCGAGGATTCAACGGCTTCGCCAGAACGCCCAGGCCCCCAATTCCTCCCCCACCTCGAATAGCGGAAACGGAAACGGCTTCCCTCCCCATCCGCGAAGGGCGAATGCGAAAATCCCAATCTTCACCGGCAAGGAGGACGTCCTCGCGAACAATTGGCAGACGATCCACCGCGCGCGGACGCCCTCCTCGACGGTGAAGCCCCCCGACGCCGCGCCCGGCGCCCCTTTACCACCCGATCCCCCCTCGCCGAATCCCGCGGCCTCGATGGACAGCAGCGGAAGTAGTACCGACCTGAAGCCCAAGACGACGCTTTTGAACGTCAACAACTACCCTTATGTGCGGCAGACGGCGTGTTTTTCGCTCGAGTACAGCCATTTTTCCTTCACCTACGGCGAGACGGCGCTGGCGGTGAACAGCTACAACAACATCGCCTGCCTGTTCGACTACCACCTCCTGCACAACCCCGCGTCGAGTCTGTTCTTCCCCGTCCACCCCACCGGCGGCGTCCGCAGCGCGGCGGAGACGCTCCAGGGCCTCCCGGCCCCCCCCCGGGCCCCGAGGCCGCGGAAAAAGCCGAAAAAGCGGGAAAAACGGAAAATTCCACCGCCATCGCGCGCGCCGGGCCTCATGCGCCCTCGCCGCGCTATTTTATGCCCGGCGCGATGTTGTGGTATCGCTTCGCCGTGCGGGAGGACTACGACTTCACCCTCCAGCTCATCGCGCGCGGGCTCTACACGCTGCGCTTTCGCGACCTCGGCTTCGACGTCCCGGCGATGGGGAAACTTCGCGGCGGCATGACGCCCTTTTACCGCGCCGGCCCCGCCGCGATCGCCGCGGCGAACCGGGACTTTCTCGCCCAATGGCCCGCCATCGCGCAGGCCTGGGTGAAAGGGCGCCACGACGCCGCCCGGGACGACATCCGCGTGCGGTGGGACCTTCTTTACCCCGCCCGGGCCCGCCACCCCGGGGCTTTTTTGTTCCTGCGGGACCCTCTTCCGCCGC